CAGCTCCACATTGTGATGGTACCGGCTTTGGTGGACGATCCTCTCCAGTTTTTGTTAATTCCCTTCTTTGTTCAGTGAAAGCCTTTTTAGCTTTAGAAACCGTGTTTCTCCATTTGTCTCGGATATCATTTGAAGTTCTAAATGCTATGCATAGGGAGGTTATTTTCTTAGTGATTTCTTAAAAAATTTTGTAACCTCATTACTATGTTTCTCTCTTAGAATTTGTAGATACTTTCCGACTTCTTTTTCGATCAAATTTTCCTCAGCAATTGAATACCTGATTTTGCGCAGTCTGTGGAGCTTTGTAGGGCAGGAATTGAGGTTGGCTTGGTCAGCCATTTTTTTTTTTGGTAGAACAGGAAGTTATAGAGGCCCTGATTTACTATGCATTGTAAAAGACACTTGCGTACATGTATTACCCAAAATTAATCATATGACTAAACATTAATACAGTGATTACTAATACAATGATGAAAATAGGTTGAACAACAAAATGTATTCATTGTATTAACTAATCAAGCGAATCTTTAACATTAATCATATGATAAGTTTAGGGACAGGTCGACAACAGACCCCTGGTCTTTTAACTGACGTTTCAGCATTGGACAGATTTCTCTGCAGATCATAATTTAATTTTGTTTTTATATAGCATCCTTTTTAAGAATGTCGGCTCTAACATCATTAGAACAAGCTCATCTAGTTTTAAAATCAACATTTGTCAAAAGGTATTCATCTAATCTTCTAAAATTCTCAATAATTGACGACAAATGAGCTTTCTTATGATGCTAAGGGCCCTACACTCTGACAATAGAGTCTAATTTTGAATTCTTGTGGCAATTGAACTTATGAGTGTGTTCGCCTTGCTACATCTTCCAGAGATCAGATATTTGTTGATGTACTTTCCATGGTAACAAACAGTGCCACCATCAACAAATAGTATGTTGAACATTGTTGAATTGGTTGTGTACAAACATGTGACAAGGTAACTCTTCTTATTGAAAGATCCAAGGTTATCATAAAAACAAGCGCATCACCAGACTTTTGGCATCCAGACATTGAAATGAATGCCTTGCAGATTTCATATATTATAATATTTGCAACCGAATTGTTTTCAACAAACTATTAATTGTTATGACTTACAGAGAGGGGCACACAGAAACGATGCACTCACTGTAGAACAGCAAGTCATGGTTACCCTGAGATTTTTGGCAAGTGGAAATTTCCTGCAGGTTATTGGAGACACACTTGGTAAGAATTTAATTGATTTTATTATTATATTTGTATTCATTTATTTGTTTTTAATGTCAATATATTACCGTCAATATCTATGTTGCCAAATTCTTCATATTTCATCATGGTTTCAATAAAAAAAAAAAAAACTTTTTAAAGGGTTGGACAAAGGCACAGTGCCAAGGGTTGTTGGGGACACCACAGCTGCATTGTGTAGGAGGCAGAATGAGTTTATCAAATGGCCAACAAGCGACGCAGACAAAAATAAAATTAAGGCTGGGAATTTCAGAATTGGAGGGTTTCCCAATGTAATTGGAGCCATTGATGGTACACATGTAAGAATACAGGCACCTACCACTGATGAGGCATCTTATGTCAACAGGAAAGGGTACCATAGCATCAATGTGCAGGCCGTGTGTGATGCAGATGGTATATTTACAAAAGTGTAATATCCCTTAAAGCAAAAACAAATATTAAAGGGAATCAAGTCAACTAGTTCCTTGCAAACTCGTACCTTGTCAACTCGTACCTAACTTGAACCATTGCATACTCGAACCATTCACAATACAAGATATACGCATATATACGAATGTTGGTATAGTGATAATAGTTTCCCCAGGTTCAATGGAATAGGCAAATCTGTAGCATATTAAGTGGGACTGTCTCATATACTAAGTTGCAGATGTACTTTTTTTTGTGTGTTTGTGATCCATTTCAATTCAAAGTTAAGATAAATAAATAGAGTTTTTCCTCTTTGTACTGGCTCTCTCCTATCGTGTACTTATTTTCTATAATCATGTTTCCATATTGTTCTAAATCATATGTTATTATTAACAATCAGTTTGTATGTTAGATTGCACGTGTTGTTTGTGTGGATATTGTATGAACTTTGTAATTTGTGTTGATTGATATGCTCTTTATGGACCCTTTGATTAGGAATAAAGATATTTGAATTTGAATTTGAAATCAATGGGAAGAAAAACATTAATTGTTTGTTTAACTGGTTTTGATAGTTGAGAATTGCATGTGCTCTATAATGAATTCACTAGATTCTTTTACAGGAAAATTTACAAATTTCAGCACATCCTGGCCGAGAAATGCACATGATGCACACATCTTTAGAACTTTACAGGTATCATACATATATGTTAAGTCAAAACTTGCTTCCATTATTTTATTGGTATCATTGACAAATTTATGCATAATCTTGACAAAAAATAGTTTTATGTGTATTGAAGGAGTTAAAAAATCAGTGCCGATGAATTATTTTTCATATACTAATGCCCTTTGGAAATAATGATTAAAAATGCAAAATTGCCCCATGATAGCCCTTAATTATGTATACAATACTTGCCAGATTTTTATGAAGTTTATATTGTACGTTTTTATAATCAATACTTTTGATGAGTTTCAAAATCAGCACTGAGCAATTAATTTTTAAAAGAGTTATGCCTTTTAGAACAATCAATTATATTGGTAATGACATTGCATTATTTGAAGCCTTCATTTTTCTAAGAGATATATAAATTGTTTTAAATTGTTTTTATTTAGTTGTTGCCATTGTATCTTAAATAGATAACATATGTGCAACGCAGCGGACATTGGAACTCTTTTCTTTTATTATTTTTCATGTTATCATCCCTTACTTTACATGACAATTTGTCCAGTTGAAACATGGTTTTGTTTTACTAACCAATTACATTGTTTAGGTATGTACACACATGGAAAGGACACCTAACAGGGAAAGTGGCATCTTACTTGGGGATAATTGTCTCTCCAAAACTTGGCACTGCAGCTGTCTTTTTCTTGGTTTTTTTTTGTGGTGGTTCTTGTTCATGGGATCTGGAAATCAAGGAGATAAAACATAAAATAGATGTCATGAATTCCACTAGACCAATTTTTGTATATGCATTGAACTTCATTGACTTAATTATTACACTTCAACATGTACAAGAGGATAGCATATAAAAACATAATAAAAGTATATCAGGAACATTTATTTATCTATGTCTGTTCAGGCTTCATAAACTTGTGTATGTTCTCGTGTTAAGGTCTACTTATAGCTTTGCAATGAAACGAAACTTAACCTGGGAATATTAAATGTGGGGTTCGTGTTGCTTAGTCTTTAGTTTTCTATGTTGTGTCATCTGTACTATTATTTGTCTGTTTGTCTTTTTATTTTTGGCCATGGCGTTATCAGTTTGTTTTCGATCTATGAGTTTGACTGTCCCTCTGGTATCCTTCGTCCCTCTTTTACTATCACTTACTAATTAGACATCAACTATTCAACTTTATTTTAATGTTTTTTAAGGGGGATGGGTGACTTGGTTATTCCTTGAACTATCATTTCCACTATCTTTAATCAAATGTTTTTTTTCATAACATATAGAGCAATATTTTTTATAGTGAATTTTTAACCCCTCCCCTCCCCCTATTTTCAATTCCTTTCAGAAACTATTTATGTTTCACCAAATTCAGTTAAAAGGTGAAACGATCGATGCTTTATGTCTTGGACCACTTTAATCATCATTTTATGCTTGAGCGACTTGTGGTTGTTGTGAATATGTTCTTATGTACGATTGGACAAAATATAACAATGATTCTGAACAAATAGAAGATCTTTAGTAGTATACAAAGGTCATTTAACAATGAGGTCAGTTTAACCTACATTTTCATGGGAAACTGAATATTTTTAGTATGTACACATATAATATTCTCCAAGCAATTTACGCTATATAGTGTGACAAACCGCCGCCAAAGGCCGAGTAATTGTGGAAGGTTCTGTTGACAATTTTAGGGCCCATTATGCTCTCGTTAGGAATATACTGCATCTTCGATTTTCTACCTCCGAAGACGAATGGATGCCAGGCAATACACTCATTATACTCCATAGTTGAGCATGTTGATTGTAAAATAAAGTTCTAACGTATATTATATTTATTTACACATACATATATATAAATATAATATACGTTAGAACAGTTCTGTATATATATATATACACAAAAATGCAGACGCCTTAGTTAGTAATCATTTTCGGGACATTTGGTTCACTCAGTGTGGTGGGGGATAACTGCCGCTACATTTACTTTTCCTTAAAAATACTCCATCTTATCATAATGAATTAAAGTATAATAACCTGCTTGGCTTTTCTGTTTGGAATTGGTCTGGTAATGATAAACTTTCAAGAAGATGGTTAAGCTTACTAGTTAGGCTTGAGCTAACAAGTTATCCGCTATTTCACTGAGCAGAGCCCTATTTATACTATTTGGAGATCCCTGAAAGCCAATTGAAAATAAGGGATCTAGCCAGGGATCCATGAGGGCCAATGAGAACCCTGTCAGGACTGACAGGAAAATGTCGGACAAAATAGGAGCCTGACAGGAAAACCTGCACATTAAGAAAATTATATACAAAATGGACATCAAAATGCCTGTCCATTAACTATTAAAGGGATGGGACTTAGTCGTAACTTTTCTTTTATTAAACTTTATAGTTAGAAGCTTAAAACTTTGTAACTAGACTTGTTTCCAAGTTCTAGCAGTGCGTAGTACTAGCAGACGCCGGGAGTACTCATATTAAATTCCAGCGGTAAACTGGTAACCAATATAATTCCTATGAATTATTCTTTTACAGGTATAAACATTGAAGCTTTAATAAAATTATTTATACAATGCCTTATTTCTTACTCTAAAAGACTACTTTTAATATTTAAGGTATAACGTTACAACGGCAAAAATATTTCCTACTGCGGTCACTTGTTCAGTAAAATGGCTCTTCACAGAGAAACGAGAAACATGGTTTTGACCGATAGTAAAATCTTAAATATTTCCTTACTTTGACATTTTAAGGACTTATAATGGGTTTTCAGGTATATGAATATTTATGCCAGACACCTTACGATCTTTAAAAAATATGTTATCAAGTAAAACGAGTTTGGTAAACAAATGGAAGGGGGCACTTGCCAAACAAAATGGAAAAATTTAAAAGATGCAAATGTTAAGATATGTGCAGTTCAAATTAATGTTTATAACGTCAATAATATTATCTGTTGCACGTTATCACCAAATAAAGTTTATATCCATATGTAGTTGATTTATTTCTTCTGTTGACATGGTAAATTCCAGGTTGTATAAATTATTAAATGTTATTTGTTCCAGTTATTACACTTACCCCTCCTTAGAAACGAAAATTCTGCTGAATTTTAGATATACAGTTAGTATTATTTAGAGACGAAAAATAAATATGGCTTCCACTGTAGATTTAAGGTTTTCTCTATTGACATGATCATTATATTTCGATTGATGCACAGGTAGCTGAAGAGGTTGTAAGTTTTTACAATAGGCGTAACGGAATTTTGTGACGGTTGCAAATTTCAATAATTTTGTCAGTTGAAGTGTTCCTCAATTCCCTTGTTGTATACAGCTGGTCTACTCTGACTTGGAATTCAGGCTTGTCTTTATTGATGATTGTTTTGAGAATTTCATAATTGTAATACCGACATTTCCTCACCAGATTTTCTTTGTCTTTTATCTTCTGTTCTTTTATGCCAGGAAGGGCCATGGAATTGTATTTATCCAATAAATCCACTCTGTCCAGTTGTGGAAATTTCACAGTGGAGTGATACTCCAACTGGGAAGCCGCAAATTCCTAGGGCAACAGCTTGCGATCAGGTGTGAGGGTTTCCCAATCCCTAGGTGGCCACTCCAAGTATGTTGCTCCAGTTAGGATTTTAATGGATGTTGATTTCCAATCCCTTCTGTCAGGTGGTATAGCTGGCATGGAACCCAGGGTTATGATTTCCCTGGCTTTCTTCTGAGTAGTGGTTTCCTCTGCGGCTGTCAAATCTGTTGAAGGTTGTAGGACGACTGGATGGCTGGGTGTATCTTTGTGATAAACATTATTTGTTGAAGGCTTGTTGGTTGAAGTTTCTGACCTGGATGCTGAATATGCTTGCTCGGATGCAGAAGATGTTGGCTTGGTTGTGAAAGATGATGGTTTGGTTGTCAAAGATGATGGTTTGGAGATAGAAGAGGCTGGCTTGGATGCAGAACATGTTGGCTTGGATGCAGATAATGATGGCTTGGATGCAGATGATGTTGGCTTGGATGCAGATAATGATGGCTTTGATGCAGATGATGTTGGCTTGGATGCAGAAAATGATGGCTTGGATGCAGATGATGCAGGCTTGGATGCAGATAATGATGGCCTGGATGCAGATGATGCAGGCTTGGATGCAGATGATGTTGGCTCTGATGATGAAGATGATAATAAAAGAGACTGGTTGGTTGGTACGGTAGGGAGTGCAGATTGAGTTTGGAGCCATGGTGGGTTCGGTCTTGGTGATTTTGGTGTGGAGGAGAAGATGTCTGGTCGTCTTTCGATCCTGGTTATCAAGGAAGGGGAGATGTTAAGTGTGTCAGCACACATCTGTTGCTTTATATAAAATTCTTCCCCATAAACTGGTGTTCCGCTTTGGGACATGGTGGAAATGTCGGTTGTACTGATGGTATTGGCTTTCCTCTTTAATGCAGCATGGTACTTTTCACCATTCTTATCACCGGGTCGATCTCTATCCGGTACCATATCATCTCCTTGGACCTTACAATGAAGAGGGCTATCAGGGGTCCATCTGCGTTCATCTGGATGCTGTGGAGAGTGAGGACCGATGGCAACAGTGGGTCATACTCTTCCATTGGTGCGTCTTCTTCCAAGCTTATGGTGGGCTAATCTTACTCCCACTCACTCACTGCTGACTCCACAGATGGTTCCCTGATTCCTTGTGTATGTGTTCCCACCACATCCGAATCTCTTGGATGGTTTGCCCAGTCCTCTACCCAACTCTGTCTCAATCTTCGAATGGATTTACATTTACCCAACCAACTGGTGACGTTGCTCCGTGCCTGGACCGCAGCAGAACTTCCTTTTGGTGTTAACTTAGTGACCAATCTCCTGTAGTCTTCTGGGAAGACATTGAACTAGTATTCGTTTGCCTCTGACATGAAGTTATTCTCCAGTTTTGGTCCTATATCTGGGTGTTTCTCATCCATGTGGCACTTCAGGTCACTGATCCGCGAGAACCTCTTCTCATATGAGAAACACCACAGACAAACAACAGATAGGCGGCCTCCATGTGTTCCCTTACTGGCTAAATGCCTTTTTAAAGTCTTCTGGTCAGGGAATTGCTGCTAACAAAACGAACATTCGTCTAGGTTCAGTGGTCTCATTCTGAAAGATATAGATTTGAACCGGATGGCAAGTTAGGGTGTTTACATGGTATTTTATTTTAGAATGGAACAGTAAGATATCTATTTCTTAGTTCTTGTGTCAACTTATGAAGTTTAAGTTTTCAATCGGTTATAGATATATACATAAATATCTTCTTATAGTCTATCTTATTACTAGGTATGGTTATTTTTCTTTAGGTAGGCAATCATGGTTTCTTATTTTGGTACTGGTCTCTCTTAGCAACTTCTGTGGCCGGTATACTTAGTGGTTTCTATGCGGCAGCAATTACATATTTTTTTCTCAATTATCTCCCCTTAACTGTACACCAATTTTTTCTTATAATATTCATTATAAATATAACTCATGGAAAATAAATGACTGGAACAACTGGAATCCTGGTAATAGGATGGTTTAGCATCAGGGTTTTGGTTTTGTTTGTTAGTTTTTTTTTTTTTTTTCTCTGTTTATGTATAATATAGCACTTCAGCTACTTCTCATTGGGAACTGGTAAATGATACAGGTATATATTATACATCTAAATATTTGCACACAAAGGTATTACTATTGTAAGGGATACTGGCAGTATATCCACACTGAGTACCTGGCTAAAAAGGAGGCTTGGACAGGACAGGCCTTTTATACACACAAAACACATTCAGGTAAACAAGTGAAATAACTGTATTTCTTTTGTCACATTTCAACACTGGTACAAGGATTACATTAGAGCTATCTTTATATATGGCATTGGTAAACTGATTATATGCATCATCAGCAGTCTCTCTGCTGACTAGACAGGACTTCTCTTCTTCATCTCTCTACCTTCAGGAGTATTAAGAATAACATAAGATATTTAGCGGAATTCCTAGGATGGCCAATCCCATAATTCCACTCTAAAAATAAAAGATTATCCACACGTATCCAATGAGTCTAGACGTCACAGGATCTATAACAAAAACATTTACTGGCAAGTGTGCAACGTCACCAGTAACTCTTCCTGTCTCTCTTCTTAATACAAAATTAACAATAAACAGTATATACATATGTGTCAAATCTTCTGCCAATAGCTACAAGTTTCATTTCTCATATTTTTTTTCTACTTTATCCTTGTACCAGGTTGGTGGGTTTCTGCCCTTGTACGGTATAAGCCGGTCTATGTGGTAAACTTTTGCTGGTTGCCGTGGTGACTTTTTCACCATATATATCAGATCATCAATTTTCTTCAAAACTATGAAGGGTCCTTTCCATTTAGGCAATAACTTTGAACACACCAGGTTTCCTGGTTGGGTCGTGTAGCCATACAGGTTGTCCTTCAATTAATTCTCTCTTCTTGGCATTTTGGTCATAATATTTTTTCTGATATTCCTGACTTCCTCTAAGGTGTTTTCTTGCATGGTCATGGGCTTTAATAAGGGAACTTTGGAGTAGTTTTACATATTCATGGGGTTTAACCATGTTTTCATTTTCTATTTCTGGTTCTGGGATAAAGGCTTGGACTGGAAGAGGTATCTCCCTTCCTAACATCATTTTTGTTTGGTGTTTAACCTGTGCTTGCATGTTTTGATGTCCTGTACGCCATCATCAACTGGGGTATAAACTCATCCCAATAGTCTTGATGTTCTTTGCAATACTTTTTAACCATGGATACTAATGTGCGATTAAATCTTTCCACAGAGCCATTTGCTTGTGACTTCATACTGGTCGCTCTTGTTTTTTCTATTTGTAACAGGCTGCATACTTCTTTTAAAAGTTTTGACTCAAAATTCCGACCTTGGTCTGAGTATAGTTGGAGAGGTGTTCCAAATCTGCTTATGATTTCATTGGTTAGGGCCTTGGCCACTGTTTTTGCTTCTTGGTCTGGGAGAGGATATGCTTCTGTCCACTGAGTGAACAGAACTGATAAAACTAGTACAAATCTATTGATGTTTTTAGACATTGGGAGAGGACCAAGTATATCCATGGCAACTCGCTCCATGGGTTCACCAGTGAGGAATTTTCCCATAGGGGCCTTTCTTGCTTGTAGTTTCTTTTGGGCTGCACAGTTTTCACATCGTTTTATGTATTCGACAATAGTATGTTTCATTGAGGGCCAATAAAAAGTTTTCTGAATTCTATCTAAGGTTTTATCTATGCCTAAGTGACCTGTTGGGATATCATGAAAATATTTAATAGCTTCCTGTCTTTTTGATGTTGGTACGATTAGTTGTAATAGTTCGTCTGTCTCATTTTCTATCCACGTCCTGTAAAGAAGTCCTTGATGTACTTCCAGTCGATCCCATTGTCTCCATAGGGTTTTAATAACAGCGGATTGATTGGAGATTTCGTTTCACTCTGGGCGCATTTTGTCTTCTATTTTCATTTAAAGTTCAGATATCTCCTGGTCATCTAATTGTGATTTTCTCAGTGTGGCCTGGTCCCAACCATCTATCACCAGGTCTTTAATTTTCATTAATTCTGCACTTGAATTTACCTGTCTGGATCGGATTACAGCTCTTATTTGATTAAGTGGGGTGCATTAAGGGATAACTGTACAAGGCACTCTGGATAGGGCATCTGCATTAGTATGTTTCAGGCCAGGGCGGTGAATAACATTCAGATCATATGTACCTAGCTCCTGGAGCCATCTTGCAGTCTGTTCTGTATGTTTCTTAAAATTTTTCATCCAACTAACTGCGGCATTGTCTGTTCTTAAAAGTGCATTTTGACCGTATAAATATGAATGAAAATGTTTTAAAGCTGAAATGACTGCAAGGAGTTCTTTTCTAGTTACACAGTAAGATTGTTCAGGCCTTGATAAAGCTTTACTCATATAAGCTATCACATGCTCCTTTCTTTCATGTTCTTTTGAAAGTACAGCACCAACAGCTTGTTGACTGGCATCAGTATCGAGAATAAAAGTTTGGTCCGGTACAGGATAAGCAAGAATGGGTGACGTTGTAAGTGCCACTTTCAGGGTCTGAAACGAGTCATTACACTCGTCCGTCAAGGTCAATTTTACCCTTTTCTCTCATAATTTGTTTAATGGGCGGGCTATTTGCTTTTGGCAAATTCTTCCACGAATCGTCTGTAATATGAAGCTAGGCCTAGGAAAGTACGAACTTGCTTGACGGTTTTTGGGAACTTGCCAGTTTTAAACAGATTCTACTTTTCCTGGATCATTGTTTATACCCTCTTCTGATACAATGTAACATAGGAATTTTGCTTTTTTTTGGAAAAAAACTACATTTTGAGTGCTTGAGTTATAGATTGGCCTCTAAAAGGCGTTCAAAAACATGTTCAAGTTGCTTGACACATTCTTCAAATGTTGATCTAGGTACTATGATGTCGTCCATATAAACTAAAAATTCTTTCCATTTGAGACCCCTGAGGACATCTTCTATTAAACGCTGAAAGGTACTGGGGCTGCTACACAACCCAAATGACATTACTGTGAATTGGTAAAGGCCCCGACTGGTAGAAAAAGCTGTTTTCTTGCTGTCGGATTCCAAAAGATCCACTTGCCAAAATCCGGAATTTAAGTCCATTAAATTATACAGTTTAGAGTTGGATAAAGCCTCCAAACAGTCATCTACTCGTCCTACCGGATAAGAATCGACTCTGGATAAGTGATTTAGGGATCTGAAGTCCACACATATTCTTGTAGTTTGATCCGGCTTTGTTATTTAGACTAGAGGTGCACTCCAGGGGCTGTTTGAGGGCTCAATTATGCCACGTTCTAACATTTTTGAAACTTCTGTCCTTTTTATTTCTCTCTTACTAATTGGTAGTATCCTGGGTGGTACTCTAACGGGACGAGCATCTCCAGTATCAATGCTGTGTTTAATTTTATCAGTTCTTCCAATGTCTTCTGGGGACCTTGAGAATACATCTTGGAATTTATTCAAGAGTCGTCTTTTCTATGGGTGTCAAATGTGTGCCACATCTTGTCAAAAGGTCTTGGAGGTGCTCTGGTACCCCATTGTCACCATTTCTAATTGCCTGCTTGGAATTATGTTAACGCCTGCACATATGTCTTGTCTAAACTCAGGTAAGGCTACTACAGATTCACAAGTACCAAGCCTGGTGTTAGGATAAAGCTTAACATCTGAATCACTGTAATTAACCACTTGGAAGAACGGGCATTCATCGTTAGAATTTATTATACCACTAACTACAGAGATATTTTTCTCTTCGTATAAAAGATTACAGAGTTCTATTATAGCTATGCTGGTAATATGCTCCTTGTTAGGAACATTAACAGGTAAGGATATACTAGAGTTTGATGGTACAACAACAGTATCTCTAGCTAACACACGACAGGTCATTCTAAATTCACCCCCTACCCAACATTCAATATCTGAATTTTCTGTTTGGATTATATGAGATCTGTAGTCAATCTTTTTCGCATGTTTAGGTACGAAGTCTTGTTCTAAAATGGCATCAGGTGTGATATCACATACAATAAATTGGTGACGAAAGATGGCATCTCTTAAGGAAAACTTCAGATGTACCATTCCATATGTAGTTAAATTGGTCCCATTTACGTTTTGAAGACTGTAGGCTTCCTGTGGACTTTCAATATTGGGGAAATTAAAACTATTGGTTTTGATACCATTTGATAGTTATTCCTGATTTACATCTTGACTGGACTGGGAAATATCTTTATGAACTTGGTTTGATATAAGAGACACTGTAGAACCAGTATCTATCAGAAAATCTAGCTTATTCCAAGAAATTGTACCATTTGTTTACAATCCATTGTCCCAATGTTCTAAATGTTTTCCTACTTGTATTACTCTGTCATTAAATTCAGCATTACTCTCTCTATCCATGTCAGACCCTTCTAACTTCGTCTGGCCCCGGTCTGGTGAGCTGACGGGTAACCGTTTCCCTGGTTCTGTTGGTTATTTCCACTTTTTTGTCCTTGACAACTAGGACTGTTTTTCGCCCAGTTTGAGTTTGGTGGGGAGGCTTGATTTGGTCCAGCTTGTTTCTTGTATAAGGGGCAATTCCTATAAAAGTGGTCAGGAGAGTTGCATGTAAAACAAGATTTTGGGCCTCTTTGAGGGGTCTGGCTACTGTTTGAACCATGTTCTAGTCTATCTATTCTGTTAATTATTTGCTGTAGGATTAATTCATTTTCTTGGCTTTGGACTGGTATGTCAGTATCTTGGGTGTTTAGGTAAGTCTTAGTGTCTGAAACTTGTCGTATATTTCTCCTTTTTCTATCATTAGGACCCCCAAGAGAGCCTCATATCTCTCTATTAGGTCTACTGCTTCAGTAACTGAACGACAATATTTATCTATACAACGACATTTCATCTCAAGGGAAATAATTTTAAACAGTTGGTTAAGGGCAAGGACTTCTTGAGTCCTTGTATCTAGGTTACTGTATGCTTTTTGGACCATTTGGCGTAAGTCATCTCCAAAATTTGCAATGGGCTCTTGAGGTTGTCTGGTTCTAGTTTCAAATCTTGAAAGCCATCTATTCTGATGTCTGGCGTTCAAATCTCTGCTCAAGGGTTCTGACTAATAAACAATATGATTTTTTCTCAGTACTGGAAAGGCTTATATAGAATGTCCTTGCTGGTCCCCGTAGGCTAGCAGCAAGCAAAAGAACTTTTTCAGATTCTTTCCATCTTCCAAGGTCTGCATAGTTTTCAAAGAGTGAAATATATTCTTCCCAACTGTCCTTTCCATTGTAGGGTTCTGGTTTAATGATAGTTCCACTTATACTTCCTCTTGGAAATCCTACCGGTATCTAGTTGTCAAAATCTGGATTTATGCCACGGATATTTGGGTTTCTGTCTGGGAAATCTCTCTGGTTTTGTACAAGTAGGTATTCTTTACGGTAAAAATTCTCGCCAACGCCTCGGTATTCGTCTCTTATCGGTACGTCACCTTGACCTGCTTCGTCGTCGTTCCCGGCGGTACCGCTGCAACTCGGCCCTAGATTCCGTCTGAACATGATTTCTCGGTCGGGAAATTCCTCTCGAGGTTTTAAAAATTGGGGCGCCTCATTATCATCACATTCAAAGTCTGACATTTCTGCTGCTGCTTTATCAAAAAGATAACAAACATTATTTTGTGTTTGTTTTATAAAACTGATTACATACAGGGTTGAAATACGGTCATTGAAACGTCCACCTTAATTTTAATTTATAAATACAACGGTGACGGATCAACGCAAATTACAATAAAAATTTACTGGAAACCTTATTTACAAATTTATGATTTACATATTCCACCACACGTCGAAGCTAAAATAATCCCGAATTGGCTATGGGTACGATCACGCGATGTCTGGAAAAATTGACATCCCACTTTTGACACCAGTGTAACAAACCGCCGCCACAGGCCGAGTAATTGTGGAAGGGTCTGTTGACAATTTTAGGGCCCATTATGCTCTCGTCAGGAATATACTGCATCTTTGACTTTCTACCTCCGAAGACGAATGGATGCCAGGAAATACACTCATTATACTCCATAGTTGAGTTGTAAAATAAAGTTCTAACGTATATTGTATTTATTTACATATATATATATATATATATATACACACAAATGCAGACGCCTTAGTTAGTAATCATTTTCGGGACATTTAGGTCACTCAGTGTGGTGGGGGATAACTGCCGCTACATTTAATTTTCCTTAAAAATACTTCATCTTATCATAATGAATTAAAGTATATTAACCTGTTTGGCTTTTCTGTTTGGAATTGGTCTGGTAATGATAAACTTTCAAGAAGATGGTTAAGCTTACTAGTTAGGCTTGAGCGAACAAGTTATCCGCCATTTCACTGAGCAGAGCCCTATTTATACTATTTGGAGATCCCTGAAAGCCAATCGAAAATAAGGGACAGGACATCAAAATGCCTGTCAATTAATTATCAAAGGGATGGGACATAGTCTTAACGTTTTCTTTATTAAACTTTATAGTTAGAAGCTTAAAACTTTGTAACTAGACTTGTTTCCAAGTTCTAGCAGTGCGTAGTACTAGCAGACACCGGGAGTACTTATATTAAATTCCAGCGGTAAACTGGTTAACAATATAATTCCTATAAACTATTTTTTACAGGTATAAACATTGAAGCTTTAATAAAATTATTAATACAATGCCTTATTTCTTACTCTTAAAGACTACTTTTGATATTTCAGGTATAACGTTACAACCACAAAAATATTTCCTACTGCGGTCACATGATCAGTAAAATGGCTCTTCACAGAGAAACGAGAAACATGGTTTTGACCGATAGTAAAATCTTAAATATTTCCTTACTTAGACCCTTTCAGGATTTATAATGGGTTGAAATATAATTTCACGTATATGAATATTTATGCCAGACACCTTACAATCTTTAAAAAATATGTTATCAAATAAAACGAGTCTGGTAAACAAGTGGAAGGGGGCACTTGCCAGACAAAATGGAAAAAGTTAAAAGATACAAATGTTACAGTATGTGCAGTTCAAAGTAATGTTCATAAAGTCAATAATATTTTCTGTTGCAGGTTATCACCAAATAAAGTTTATATCTATATGTAGTTGATTTCTTTCTTCTGTTGACATGGTAAATTCCAGGTTGTAAAAATTATTAAATGTTATTTGTTCCAGTTATTACAAAAGTATTAACGCTGGTAATAATAAATTGCATGTAAAAACTGGAAATAAATAAAAATAGCAAAAGAAAAACAAAACTATATGTACTTAAATGCCACTATATATTATCGCAAGGGGATGTAGATGTAGTCTACTTTAAAAACGGAGAAAACATTTATATCCTTGTAATGTCAAATGTCAGTGCACTTCAAGAGTATACCTAACATTTAGGTCAGTCCTGTTTTGTTCTATCTCATTTACAACTGTCACTGGGGCTGCTGCAGGCACTGAGGAATCAATGGTATTAAAATGTATGTCAAGGCGGTTCCTCCTTACAGCCTCTATCTCCTTATTTACACTTGACTGCAAGGTGTGTTCTAATTGGTCTGAAATAGGTATGTGTACTCATTAGAACAAACTATAAATCATAAAATCTTTCATTCAATTTTCTTTGATGAATGTTCATTTCTGCACACTTATTTTTTACTTCCAATTACTTTTTATCTCTGAAAAATGCAGTCAAAACATAGTTGGCTCCAATGGCTTTACTATGTACTTTCAAGAAGAAAGTTAGTTACCTTCTGATTTTAAATGGAAATACAAATCATAATTTGTTTTTTATTGTTAGCAGAAGCTAACTGTTTATCTTTCAGATAATTTCAAGAACAAAGTTTTTTTGGAACGGTATTGAACAAGTACACAGCGTTTAAATCAAAGATATTTGTATCGGTATTACCGAGATTAAAAAAAAATCATGATGGTCTGGATGGGTGGGTTTCATTTCTGTATTTTAAAATTGTTTAGGCCATTTCCTCTTTTCTTTTTTTTTTTCTGCTCATTATACATGTTATACTCGATTTTTACATATTTTTTTTGTCAATTTTGCCTATTAATTTTTTTCCATTATTTTCAATTCTGAAAACCCCCATCCACAGCCTCAATTATGAATCAAATATATATAGTGTTGTGCATCATAGACAGAATGTCAGAACTGACTGATAAATTGAAAATGTCTTTGTATTTCAAGCTGAGATATGAAGTTAATTCATCTCTCTCTTCCTCAGAGATGCATTTAGTGTTGTCAACAAAACCATTTAACAGGCTATCTCTTACTTTTGGCAATGATTGTAATGGCTGGTAATTCTGAGGATATTCTTCATTTTGACCCTTCATATCTTTTGATTTATTTACGAGGGTAGTGGGCCTACCTGAAGGACATATTACACATTTATTTCCATTGAGAAACTGTATTTATGCAAAAAATAGTATATACTTGAACTATAACTTGAATATAGGCACTCAAATAGCTGCAGAACTTGGCATTGCCTACTTAGACCAACCTAAAATTATTCTTAGTATTAACAAGGATTTTTATAGTATATATCACTATAAAAAATCCTTGATATATTAATAATGTTCCTCAGGTTATAGCTATGAAAGCAAGCTGTTTTGCAATATTCATATTCTAACTCAATAGTTATCAAAGGTACCAGGATTATAATTTAATACGCCAGACGCGCGTTTTGTCTACATAAGACTCATCAGTGACGCTCAGATCAAAATAAACAGGAATGAGGTTGGTAAAAGGAGGTGGGGTACGTGCACGGGAGAATGTTTAAACAAACGCATTTCATGATGAACAGGAAATAAGTTCATGCACAAAACCTATCTTGCAGGGATGAATGTCAAGCAGAACAGAACACACAAAAATGGATGCATATCAAATAAAAAACAACATTGCACAAAAATTACCCTTGAACACCCCATTAATATTTTGCTATGACACAAGCGGCTTCTTTTCGGCGCCAAGGACGGCCAAGTTGAAAAGGGGAGGGGGGGGGGGTGGGGGGGGGGGGGGGGGGGGGGGTCATGAATGGTAAACAAATAAGCTACATAAAGTGAGATTTTGACACAAACTGCAGGACATTTGTCTTATATAAATTATTATTTCAGAAAGCACACAGGACTGTCATTGAAACTGTCGCAGTCTACAACTCAATATTGTTACAATAAAAATGCATCTATTTTTATTTCGAAGGTCAGGGCCACTATTTGGGATTTCCCTGTAAACATTGCAGACGATAAGAAGCGTTTTGAATAAATATGTCATGTGAATTTGGGAATAAAAAGACAGTATAAAAGAATTATTAAAGTAATCTGAAAACATGTTAAACATTTATTACCTTCTGATCCCTCAATGGCAGTATACTGCCCACCGGACACTCCACGGAAATAGGCAGTGTCTCTCATGCAGTTTATTATGTTCTCTTCTGCCTGGGAAGGCTGGGAAGGAGGAGGACCACCACCAATTTGTGACCTTTCCCTGTGCACATTGGTAAACTTTTGTTTTGCATCACGTCTTAGGTTTTTCCATCTGTTCCTCACCTCTGTCTCTGTCCTGAGGCAGACCCCCAAGGCTTTAACCTTGCTGGTGATATCCAGCCACATTTCCTGTTTTGGCATTGATCAGTTCTGGGGAACGTTTCCCCTGCAGGAGGTCTAGGTGTGTCGTAACCATCTCACTATTGAGGTTGCTCTCAGTAGCAGTGAAATTTAATTTCCTCTCCATTGTATTTTTTGCAGACATATTTTCAGCCATGTTGATTAATACAGGAAGTTGAATTTTTCTTAGACTTGTGGGATGTTTTTTTTATCACATCGTTAAATTTTAACACTGCGTTAAGTAATATTGTCGTTAACATTTTTTGAACAACAATATTTAACGCCTTGATTAGTTAGCGACTGCGTTAAGATTTAACGACTCGTCAGGCTTAATCATCGTTAAATTTAACGACACTTTTGACAACTGGGCCCAAGTTTTTCAGCCTCTAATAACTTTTTGTAATTTTAATTTACAATATGACGATCTGTCATAATATTTTTAACGCTAAGCAAAAGCTTTGCTTTCTTTGTATACACCTGTTTAAGGGACGTACTATACCGTTTGTGTTCCTGTCCGTCCGTAGTCAACATGTCGGACAATAACTCAAAATCTTTTAACCAATTTGCATGCAAGTTTGATGAATATTGTTTATATCTATTGACGTTAACTCCATATAGTTTTTTTTTTTTTTATTAATTTTAGATTTTAAGTTTCCGAGTTGTGGATTTTTTTCATTAAAAAAAGGGAATATTTCAGGTTTCGTACAATAATGAAATAAATGCGTTCAGCAGTTTTCATGAACCTTTGGGGAATTGTTTATATCTATTGGTGTAAGTTTCTTTGCTATTTTTTTAAATTTTAGATTTTATGATTCCGAGTTATTGGATTTTATTCATAAAAAGGGTTGATTTTCCAGTTTTCGGACAATATTTTTAAAGTGCTTTGTAATTTTCCTCGGAGTTCAGTATTTTTGTGATTTTACTTTCTTTTTTTTAGGAGTATTCATGAAACTTTGATGACTGGTTTATATCTATAAAGATAACCTCCCTTTAGTTTTTCGTGAATTTCTTATATGACATTTATCATATAACTTTATTCTTTGAATAAGCGACAGGGGCGTATCGTGCGCTTACGGTGCAGCTGTCTATTTTGCTTTTCATCAATGTTTTCAGAAAGGGATTCTGCTAGTTCTGTAAACGTCTGTTTTGTTGCATATAGCTTTCTTCATCACCTGATAGCATAACCAGGTGACTGAAAGAGTATGAACCTTCCTCCGTAGAAATTTAGAAGCCAACATACTTTTTTTTGCGCCATCAAGGAGTAGGCAGTTGCATTTATTGGTATGCTTTACATGCTTCAGCATAGCTGTAGCTGTTTGTGCCTTGGAAAGAACACGAGCTTCAATAGCCATAACTGAGGATAACTTTTTTTGGTAGTCCGTCGTCGAATATGTTTAACATATTATTTAGAACGGATCGCACTATTACTTCCAATGGCTACATCATGGCCCACTAAATTCATATATAATTGCCTGATTTCTCTTTTGTATCTTCCCCCATTGAACATTTCTGATGTTTCTATTTTATTATCAACTGCCATTGCTTGTAAGCCTTCAACCTGCTGTGGAAATAATTTTTTTCACGTGGAGTTTGAACCTCATTTTGTAAATTTGAATATTAAATTTCATTTTTTTTAAATTTCTGATAGTCTCCCACATGCTCCTGTAACATGTCTAAGCTTGTAATGTCCAAAGTTGACTGCTGCACTTCATCGGTAGCTTTTATAGGGAAAGCAATCGTTTGAACTCTCAGTTTTCTCATATTCTGCTGTTGGTAAGACACAACTGTTTCCAAATTGGGTTTGGTTGATTCAAAGCGGGTTGTTGGATAATGATACTCATAAAAGTGGACAGATCTTCACCAGCACCTGGAGAACCACTTGTTCTATTATAATGGAACTTCTTGTGAATGTTGGTCCATTGAAGGCGAATATATTTTACAGATAACACATCATTGTCAGAAACTGAATTGCATAAAAGAGTATTCTCCCAATATTCTGCGTGTGTTTATGGTAAGTTCTTGTAGAACATTAATCGCCTCACGAAGAAGACATCTGCAACGGACAATGATACATCTACATGTATATGCTAAATAATTTGTAAAATAGTTTTTAATGCACTGCACACATTGTGATGTTTTAAAAATACTCTCTGATTTTTTTCATTTGAGCAAAGTGATTTTTTGTTTTAATTACAAAAGTATTTTACGGATTTTGCGGTTAATACAAATATCAAATTTCCACTATTGTGAAGTACAATAGTTCTTTTCCTTTAAAACATGGCCAAGAAGACTAGGAAATGCAGACAATACAACAAAGAAGATGTGGTATGATTGTCAATGAGACAACTCTCCACAAGAGACCAAATGACTCATAAATTAACAACTTTTGATCACCGTACGGCCTTCAACAATGAGCAAAGCCCATACCACATAGTCAGCTATAAAAGGCCCCGAAATGACAAATTTAACACAGTTCAAACAAGAAAACTAACGGCCTAATTTATGTACAACAAATGAACGAAAAACAAATATGTAACACATAAACAAACGATAACCACTGAATTACAAGGCTCCTGGCACATACATACAAAATATGGCGGGAGTTTAACATGAAAGCGGTATCCAAACCCTCCCCCTAACCTGGGACAATGGTGTAACAGTACAACATAAGCACGAAATATAAAAATCAGTCGAGCCCTCTTCTCTGATCTATTGGATTTCTTTCAGATTAACATTCTCGTGTGATTACCCACTTCAATTATTCGTTCCAATTGAAGAAAAGTAAAATTACTTCGAGGAATGAGTTTTTAAAATTACTCGTTTTAAGTAAATCATTAGGTTCTGAATAAAAAAAAACTTTTATTGTTTATATATAGGACAAGATTGATACAAAAAAAAATGTATTGCATCATTAAATATAATGGCACTATGAGACTGAATGATGTGTGGAATATTTTTATATATTATTTTTTTTCCTTCAAATTATTCGACATAAAACAGAATGCATATACATGGTTTGTCACAAAAAAGAAGTTGAAAGGTTTTTATGAAAAATATAACAAAGTTATCAAAGAAATCAAGTTATGTTTAAATTTCGAATCGGCAATATGTTATTTTACAGATACAAAGTACTAAGAGTATTTTTGGGGGCTAGACTTTTTTGCATTGCACGACTATTGCAGTTTTCTCTTCAGTGTTAGTTCTCAGTGAGAGACTGAACAAAAATATGTTCTGTCACTACCATTATTTGATAGGTTAAACATGTTTTTTGTCAATATTATTGCTCTAGTCGCACGAATGGGATGTTTTGTGTAAATTTGTGAAAGTTTAGTCCTCTTACTCAATTTCGTCATGAATTTTGCCAACGGTATTTTCCCCTAATCGAGAGTTATAGTACCAAACTGTATCGTCATCATTGAATGTTTACTTTGGTCTGCCATAGACTAGTGCATAACGGATGAAGTTTGCTGATGTACTTTTCATAAGATTCTACGGGACAATAGGGTGATTCAGGGAACCATATCCCATATCCCAAAAGTGCAATCCTTTCAATTCATTGCTCCAAATGAAAGTTTCGTATACTACATTTTAATATGCCATATGTTTTGCCTCAATTATCGCATGTATCCAATCAACATAATCAATAAAAAGGGCAAATTAACCTCCCCTATCCCAATGTACTCTATACAACGGGGTGGCTGTGGGTTACTTCCTATATAAATATATAAGTCATAAAATTGATCAGATTTTTGGTCTTCAGCAATATATGAGTTAGGATGTTTTTTTTTAAATTCCAGCAGCACGCCAGAAGGGACCCCCAATTCCTCCCCTGTGCCCTATAAAAGCCTAATTTATTATAAGATCGCTGCCAGTTTTGAGTCCCCTTTTGTTTATATTCAGTATTGAGTCCCCAAATTTTGAGAAAGGAAAATGGAGGGGAGGGGTGTGCTATTTACTGAACGTTTATACTAAAATTCTGCGCGAAATGAACAAAAAGAAATGTCGTAAGATATTGGAACATTTTCGTGATTAATTCATTACCATATTTGCATCATATGCTATCATACAGACGTATTTAGTATCAAAATCAATCAAACACTATCTAGTTACGATTACCTTCTAATTGTTTACTACCAGAATTAAGATTATCTTTTTTTTCGAATATCAAGTATCACCCTGATTTTTTCGACGGCAATTTTCTAACCGCTTAAACAATTATAGTGCACCGTTATGATTTAAATATGATGGTAATGGTATAGAACAACCTTGCAGCTGAGTAACTCTTGACAACAACATGCTACATTTGAGAAAAATGATTGAAAAGATTTAACCTATTTCTGCCGTCGCCATATTGGGATCGTCGTAATTATAGTTACGATTATCAGTTTAACACCAGTGACCATTAAGATGTCTGTTAAGAGGCATGTCTGGTGTTTTCAAACGATGTTGCTTTGTAATGTTCACGTGAGTTCATGTAAAAGTGTCCCAAAACGCGTCAAATTCCTCAACATTTGCTTCCTGATTAGTTGCTTTCAAATGTGCTTTAAATACTCGTGCTGCCTTTTGATTACTTTTATCGTTTTATTTGCATTAATCAACATTTTCAATCTCGTCTGCTGTTATGGAAGCGAACGGTTTTGTCGCCATTTTGTAATTTGCTGTGGGCAAAGAAGGATAAATCTACCGTTGACAAGGTATTGTTAAAACAGTGACCGGGAAAAAGAAATGCATGGTCTTCACGTGGTGGTAATTAGGAACAGGGATTGGTTGATGTATTAAGAGATAAGGGGAAAATGCTATTCAACACGACTGGTAGCGTTATGTTGCAGATATCTTCGTTGCAACGTTACATTTATCGGTTTGTCGTACATTTTTAGGAATGCCTACTATGTTTTCTGTCTATAAAGCAATAACATAAAAAATGTGGTACACACTGAAAAGGTTTATGTGTAAGTGCTTAAACGTACCACATTGTTTTATGCTATTTCGAATAGACTGAAAAATTATAAGTCATTCCTTATAATTTAATTGTTAATTCCATTTTAAGCCATTACATCATGAAAAAACGGTAATGATGTCACGGTCATATGACAAAATTATGTCTATGAGCTGACAGACAAAACACTGTCAACCAATAAGAAGACGCGTGACATCCAAAATAAAATTATTAACTATAAGGGTTGATTCCCGTTCACGACGTCAAATGCAAAAAAAAAGTTGCTTTTGATTGATGGGCGTCATATAGATTACACTGGCTAAAACGTCTACAGGTTAACAACTTCTTACTTCTACTAGTAACTTGACGTCCCTGCTTACGCAATACACCTTATCGCTATTTGTCCGCCATTACTGGACATCACACAAGTTCCCGTAAAATTTTGACGTCATAATAAAAAATGTCTGACGCCACAATGGAAAAGTGATTGTTGTATGACGTCAAAAGTTCGAGCGGGACAGATTCTCGGGTCAAGCGGGAATAGCGATAAGGTGTATATGAGCTACATGTTGGTAACTTATATTATTTGGTATGGACATGAAAAACTGCGGGTTCCATTTTTTTCATGACGATTGTTTCGACAAATCATAATAAATTTTGACTTATAATAACGGTAACAGTGTTTAAGACCTAACAGCAATTACTATAGATATTTTGACAAATCACAGTAAACTTTTCATCATTTAGACGCTAACGGTAGTCGAATATTACCGTTTGGTGTCGTAATTCGAATGAAATTGGTTACTTCGTGCGAACGTACTTGCTTATTGACCAACGCTCTATACTGATAATAAAACTGTTTCTATTCATAACAAAACAAAACTCTAAAACTAATCGAAGTAATGAAAATCTTGACTTGATCACAAAACCGGAGAAGAGAGTAAATGGCTATTGAAAAAAAACCTGGTATGTATAGAGTATGCATGACGTGTTTAATTCACATTTTCCCACACATTTGTTACATCATCTAGTTAACACTGTTCATTATTAAACCAAATACATCTTCCTCCCTGTCTTTTGCACAATGCATTCTGTGAAAGGCAAAACTCATTTTTAGGTGGATATCTACAACCTCCTGACCTGCTACGAATTTTCTGAAAAGGACAGATGAACTGGGTATAAGTAGAATAATATTATTTCTGTTCTGAGAGATATGCCTTTAAGTATACATAAGGGGAACAAACAGAAGTCCCCAGAGCTGAATCTTAAGAGTCTGCTGTGGTCGAGACTGCTCAATGTTTGTTTGTGTCAATAACGTCTGTTGGTTGTTTTGTGTTATGTTTCGTTTGTCATGGTTTTTTTTTATTCTCCTTTGGTATATCATATTGTTTTACTAAGTTGTTTTACCTTATGGCACACACATACAGATTAATTGATTTGTCAAATGAAGTACACTTCCGCATTTAAGTACAAGTAGTTAAAAGTTTGCTAGTGTGACTCTGAACCCAATACATACATTGCTAGTACATGTATCATTTTCTTTAGGGTGTGTCCCCATGAAATCAAACTTCGAAAGTATTCATATATATATAAATACCTATGTTACATCATAAAAATTTTGCTAAGATGCATATGCAAAGAAAGACAACGGAGACAAAAGATGATTGCCACAAATAAATTATTTTATATTTAAAGTCGATGCTTCCGATATGAAGACCTCACTTTGATTTAAATCTAATTGCACCATCATAGAAATATTCACTGCACGAATAGGTATTAAAAGGGGCTACTGATCAGCAGAGATGAGGAAAGCAATCTTGTGTTTTTAACTTTCAACATGTGTATTGGATACGATTTGCTGTTGTTCAACTATCCGTTTGCTTTAATCAAATATAAAAATGATAATTAGTTATTTTCTTATCAATATGGTGAAAATTTTCTGCAAAAATGTAGATCTAGAATTAAATTTGTATAAAGTAAAATAACAAAAATACCGAACTCCGAGGAAAGGTCCTAACGGAGAGTCCCTATGCAAATAGGAAAATTAAAAGCATAAATACATCAAACGTAGGATAACAACTGTCATATTCCTGAGTTGGTACAGGCATTGTCTTACGTACAAAATGGTGAATTAAACCTTGTTTTAAAGCTAGACAAGCCAAACCTCGCACTTGTATGACAGTCGCATAAAATTCCATTATATTGACAGCAATGTGTGAACAAAAATAAACAGGCAATAGGTAAAACAGTCAAAAATATGGGTACATCAGTCAACATTGAGTTATAATCCTAATCACTTCAAAACAAACACATATTGTATATTGATAACTTACTGTGCATCTTCTTTTACAGTTAAAATTGTACGAATAAGGACCTCCAGAAAACAGGTAAAACGTTTGGTATGATGTCAGATTACTGAGTTCTCCAATAAAATCACAAAATTTGATATTTTTAGCACCATTGTCACCTCTTCCACCTGTTAGTGAACGAAATATGACAATTATCCTTATATGTTTGTTTGAAACTCTTAACCCGTTTTTGAGCACATTGGTTCATCACATACTTGATACAGTAGATGTAGTTAGTGTCATTCTGCTCATTTCTATTGGCTATGCTTCTTTTAGCTTACATGTTCAAATAGTTTAGTTTCAACCAGCTTTGTCGTATGATTGCTGTACATGTCTAATTGACGCTAACCTGACATTTGTTTTCTTCAGTTGATTATCTCACTAGGGCGTTTATTGTTATTCCGGCGTTATATGCAATCATTGTATTGCTATACAGAAATATTTTAGTTATATCCATTATACATCTCATCTGAATATCCTTCGTAAAAGGAAAAATAGAAGAGCTTTCAATGGAGCATCAACTACTTATCGTATAAAAACAAACAATTTCATGGCCTTTAGGGTAAAAAAAACAGGTGTCAATAAATTTGTCTGATACAATATGCACCTCAATAAGTTACTTTCGGTAAAAACATGAAAGGAGTAGCATTAATTACCATTTTAATAGTTGTTTTTGGCACACAATTTCAAAGTTTCTGTTTGTTTGTAAAATTTTAGAGTTTTCTTTAAAATAATTCAAATTGGTAAATAGTGCATATTAATTTATTGCATCATTTAATCTGTAAAATAGATATGTAGATATAAGAAGATGTGGTACAACTCTCCATTAAAATCACAATTTGTAAAAAAGTAAACCGTTATAGGTCAAAGTACGGCATTCAACACGGAGCATTGGCTCACACCGAACAGCAAGCTATAGAGGGCTCCAACAATGACTGGTATAAAAAACAATTCAAACAGGAAAACCAACTGTCTATTATCTACATAAAAACGAGAAATGGGAAAATGTTGTTGTAATAAAACCGGAGTATCAAATTGAAAGAAACAAAGTGTTGCTAATCCATGCACAACATGTACAACAACTTGAATTGCTAGTGAAGCTGAATTTCTTACAGAAATCTAAAAACAAATATCTAACGAGAATGAAAACAAGCCAAGCAGTTGCCAAAGCTTATCATAATAGATTAAAAAAAAATGCAAGAAAATGATCAAGAGTTGCAAAGACGTTAAACTGAACAATTACAAATGAGAATGGCAAAAGGAAAAAAAAGATAATAAGACAAATCTGGAAACTACAATTTCAAGTCCTATGCATACAGCAAATAAGGAGTTCAGAGAACTACTCTTTATCCGACTAAACATCCGGACCTGCCTGAAGTTCGCCAAAGATGATCTTCGTTAAAAAGAAATAACCTGCTTCCAGTGGGACGATAGTAGTACGTGTCCTCCAGCTGATAAACGAGACAACAAAAAAGACGGAAAAAAGAAAAGGCAAAAAAAGAGTGTTAAAAGACTACTAATCTAATCTGAATTAGAAGTTTTTGTTGGAGACGATGTCTGCCATCAAATTACGTGTTAGCATCATATTGAAACAGGAGAACGTGCCTTTGTCGTCGCCATGAAAATAAGGCATTTAAAAGTCAGAACATTGAAAACTCCAAATGTAACTACTTATTCAAATCAAGATCAACTGATCATACAGATTACAAGACAAGACAAGTTTATAAATATACTAAGACACATTGTGTGCAACAAGAGCAACATGATATAGTATACAAAATAATAAATTGGTCAACAAATATGACAAGGTAATCAAAACGCAATCCTTTTATCACTACGGGTGAAAAAGAGGTTTTCATTATTTGTGAAATATGTTCAGGATAGTACTAGCGTAGAATAAAAAAATCAAAATAGATATCCAGATGATGAGATTTTACAGAAAATAACTAAGTTATGTATTGGGTTCGTGTTGCTCAGTTTTTAGTTTTCTATGTTGTTTCTTGTGTACTGTTATTTGTCTGTTTGTCTTTTTCATTTTTAGCCATGGCGTTGTCAGTTTATTTTCGATTTATGAGTTTGACTACTCCTCCGGTATCTTTCGCCCCTCTTTTGGAAGATGAAAGATGAAATACTCGGAATAGAAAAGGATTGATGTAGAGAAGGGAGTGATGTAAAAAAAAATGAATGTCTGCCACATCATTCTCTCAATTTAAGGCCAGTGTGCGCACTATTATTTTAATAAGAAGCACACTACCTATATTATTGGCCCTCTACCTATCCACACAAAGTTGTTCACTTCCTAATATTTTAGGAGGAAATCAATATAGGGAAACCTTGGTATCTCGCAACCATAAGATCTATTCAAGCTACTGCATATTCTCCTCGCAACCAACTTTGATAAAACGTGTTTATGTGAAACCTTGGTGCTTTCTACATTTGAATTGTTTCAAATCATTCTATAACTTTCCAGTATAGGACTCGTGATACCAGTCTTGTCATTTTGTACACTTTATCCAGTCATCATCATATATGGTGTCGTCAAAGTAATGCCTGTTACAAATTGCACAATTTAAGCCACTATTTGTGTTTTCTTTGTCATCTGAGCTTTCATCGTCTGGAGGTGAATTTGTAGATTTTTCTTTGTTCCTTTCGAATTTTTTTCTCTGATTGTTTTTTTCTTAACTTTCGGTATTACTAAAAGTTTATCACAATTTCCTGTGCAGTTAGTAAACGGGACTGTATGTACTGTTATGCAAATTTCGGATTGATTTCTTATAGTGTCAGTTGCAATAATCGAATTTTCCTTTTTGCGGGAATATATTAGACTGTGATCATGATGTATATACTTCAATCTCCTTCCCTTTTTACGAATGTGATTTACTGAATTAGACTATTTACCGGTTTTGTAATAACACGAGCAGAAAGACGGATGGAACATATGGGAATGGATCTGATTACCCTTTCGGAGCACCTGAGATCACCGCCAGTTGTTGGTGAGGTTCATGTTGCTTAGTCTTTAGTTTTTTATGTTGTGTCCTGTGTACTATTATTTGTCTGTTTGTTTTTTTAACCATTGCGTTTACAGTTTATTTTCGATCTATGAGTTTGACTGTGTCTCTGGTATCTTTCGCCCCTCTTCTATATATTATGTTAAGATTATGTTTGGTCAAACCTCGTAACGTAATAATTAAAACTGGCCATTCCATCATTCCTGATGTGGTTTAATCTTTAAAAAAAAAAAATGTACGGACACTAGAAATTTATTAAATGTTCATTCAATTTGCATAGTGTTATACTGCTGGTGATGTACCACTTAGGCCTATTATTTTAATTATTATGACCAAATAATCAGTGTGGTTTTCTTATGGTAACGTCATTACTACAACATGTAACAATAAAGTTGAATGAGTTAATCGTAAGATAGTACTCTAGTGAAACAAGTCGCATTGCATTTAAATTCTATAGTATATTTAGTTATTTACCCATTAGAATTAATGACTTTCCGACGTGCAAGCTTACTCAACAGAGCGCACTATTTCCTGCAGTCTCTATAACTACCTCAGAACCAACTCTTTCTGTAATTCCCTGTCATAAATGTATTAATGAATTGTTAATGTTAAAACATGATGTAAAAACAAGTTTAAAACGACAAGAACAAGCGTATTTTGGCACTGATATATGGATTTAACGAGTTGAACAAAAACTACTAAATAATAATCAACAGTAAGTGTGTGCCTATAAGACTTTGTTAATTTTTTTTTATTTAAAACAAGATAATGAAACTCTCAGAAAAGTTTGTTTTAATTTTCGTATATCTCTTCATTTACAAAACGAATATCTGTAAAAAACCCGAATAAAAGGCAAACATCAATATATATATAAAAGCACTGCAATGAAAAATCACATTAAATAATGCATGTTATGTGTGTTTTGACATACATGTATATTTGACTTTATTACCTATTATGTCTGTTTGATTTGTTCACGCATCGTTGTTGATATAATGGAATTTGATGCGACTGTCATACAAGTGAGAGGTTAAGCTAGCTATAAAACCAGGTTCAATCCACATAAGAAAATGCCTGTACCAAGTCAGGAATATGACAGTTGTTATCCATTCGTTTGATGTGTTTGAGATTTGATTAGGGACTTTCCGTTTTGAATTTTCCTCGGAGTTTAGTATTCTTCTTCCCTTTTTCCTTTCTTACGGGCGTCGCATGATTTTTTTGTTGTTACATCTCCCCTCCCGGCATACCTAATATATTCGTATTTGTTTTATTGATTGCTATAATACAAATCAATAGAGAAAAAAGAACAAAAAATCGTAAGAAACAGTCTCTCTTTCACCGTTATATTTTTTGTAAAAACGGCATCGGTTTGGTGTAAAGAATGTCAAATTACCTATGATCGGATTTATATGTCTTTGATTTTTTTTTCAACTAAAAGCAGTGTTTCATTTCCCGTACATAAACAAACATCGTGTATGATGCCTGGTTGCAAAAAGCACGTCATACTCTTGTTTCGTTTGCATAAGAATATTCGCTAGTGCTAAATCAACACACTCTTACCTAATTAGGATAATTACCGGGCACGACACGTGCCACATGTGTACCTATATCTGATTACTCTTCCGGAGCACTTTTTTTTCCTTGGGTTCGTAATGCTCAGTCTTTAGTTCTCTGTGTTGTTTGTTAATCTTTTTCCTTTAGGCATAGCGTTGTCAGTTTATTTTCGACTGATTAGAAATAAGAAGATGTGGTAAAACTCTCAATCGAAGTCACATTTTATAAAAGTAGAATGATTAGTTTGAATGTCCCTCTGCAGTTGCTGCTAAAATGTTCTCTGCACAAAGCCAAAGATTTTCCATTTGAGAATTTTAAAAAAAATACTGATCCATACCTTCATTTTGAAGAGAATGCTGACAGTATATTTCCAGATCGCGTCGTTATTGGCAATATCATCAGGTGGTCCTGGTATGAATGTTTCCCTGATAACTCTGCCATATAATACTGAAAGCATAAACCAGTGGTAAAGCATACGATGTTCTTTTTTTTACACAAGCACGGGAAATACTATTGGTAAGAATAAATAAAAATCAGGAGCTATTATAATGCTAGGTAAATAGATATTGAAAAACCCTTTCCTCTAGAGGGAAATAAGTTGACAATCAAATATTTTAGTGTGTTTTTATCTTGTTGACAATACTTACGTGATAACGCCGGAGACCGAAACAAAACAAACGCTTTCAATTTTATCTAGAAAATTGTATTTGCATGTGTTTCTTGCGTCTTTTTATGTTAATATTGCTATATTTACACAGCAGATATTTACCGAAGTGTTAACTCAACAATCGATTGAGAAGACGAATCCTGGTAACAAAAAATAGTGGTTCGCAAGAACTCCAAATGTAGTGATGCATGGTGCGTCAATATGGTAAGCATTTCCTGATATGCAATCATCAGCAAACATTCCAATTCAAACTCAGTCAAAATGCCCCAATTAGGAATAGAACACATTCGATAAAGTTGCAAAATATACGATTTTTATTGATTGTACCGAATTTGTAAACTGAAGTATCCAATAAAAACAAGGTAAGTCGTCCGATTTTCTGTTCTATGTAAAGTTCATTCAAGCTATGAAGGACATGATTCGCCAAAATATTTTCGTTGTCAAATGATATGTTTTTATACATTGGATTACCGGAGTACTTTTTTCCCCAATTCTTTAACAAGACACTCAATGTAGTACGAGTTACATACCAACACAATCACGACAATATTATTTGAAGCTTTGTCCGCAACAAAATACTTATCATGAACAGATGATAGACGTATACAATTCTCATTTACATGTTCGACAAAAGAATTATAAATAAGATTGAAAAAAAATTGTCCGCAGTGAAAGAGGATCTTCAAAAATACTGAAAACTGTTTACTCGCGTAGTGGTATTAACCATATGTGGATTCTAATTAAATCAAGAACTTCTTGATAATGTTGAAACACGATCTTGCTCTGAAATTAGTTCTATTAAAATTTCAACCCTATATACCACCATTCCCCATGTGAAATTGTACAAGAGGCTGTCAGAGAGACAGGAAACCGGATTTTTCTGCAGAGGTCAAACCATGAACAGTTGAGCACGTATAGACACAACATTTAAGCTTAAAACAGCTCTGAATTTGAATTGTGGTTGAATATTTGATACAGCATGGGTTTGTGACACGAAATAAAAGTGGTATAAGAACTGAAAAAGTTGAAATTGAACATTTACCTATTATGGACCTATATCTAAATTAAAATACATTGCTAGAATCAGCATATCAAAGAACCACAAGAATTCAATTTTTGATGAAATACTTCTTAGTTAAACCATTTCTGTCCAAATAGAAATAACTCAAACTTTATTTCCATGAAGCAATAATGTAAATCTAAAATTAAATATGATTTAACTATAGACTTTAAAATTAGATATGATGTAAAAAGATATGATGTTATTTTTTTTTAAATTATAATCAAATATAATCAATAATGTTCTAATAAATCTGTCACTCATATTATAATAGGATGATTGGATTGACAATTAACAGACGTGTCTGTTATCTTATCACTTAGTGTATAAACAAAATCAAACTTTATATATATAGTTGATAGTTCCAAATATTTTTTCTTTCATTTGTAACATACTAATATAGATCTGCAACTTATCTTATCTTAATTTTAACTTTTTATACGGCCGTTTACCTGACGTATTATGGTATACCGTTGTCCGTCCGTCTGTCCGTCTTCAACATGTCGGACATTAACTCAAAAATTATTCAACCAATTTGCATACAACTTTGGTGAACTGTTTATATCTATTGACGTGAGCTCCCTTTTGCTTTTTTTAATAAATTTTCGATTTTACGTTTCCGAGTTATGGTACACAATTTTTCAATCTTTCGCGAACCGTAACTCAATTTTTAATCTTTCAAGAACCATAACTCATGATCGGTAAAAGTGAAAATCGTCAATATCAAACTTGACCTCCATTTTGTCATCAGAAACAGCATATTAAAATTTAATAAGCATTGGTTGAACGGTTCATGAGTAAATGCACAGACACGACTGGAAACGCCATTTTTTTTCAATATTTCAAGAATCGTGACTCCTGAACGGTAAAAGTGGTAATCGTCATTATCCTACTTGACCTCCATTTTGTCATCAGTATCAACATTTTAAATTTGAAAAGCTTTGGTTGAATGGTTCATGAGTAAATGCAACGACATGACTGGAAACGCCATGTTTCAATCTTTCAAGAACCATAACTCCTGAACACGAAAAGTGAAAACTGCCATTACTGAACTTGACCTCCATTTTGTCATCAGTAACAAAATATTTAAATTTGAAAAGCTTTGTTTGAACGGTTCATGAGTAAATCCACGGACACGACTGGAAACTCCATTTAGCGAACAAAAGGGTAACACATGCTACACAGTGGAACAAGTGATCAGTATGCTGGAGTTTCTTATCGACAACATTTTTGTTGAATATGGTGGTAGACTTTTTCAACATAATGTTGCCATTCCTATGGGAACGAACTGTGCGCCTCTCCTTGCCGACCTCTTCTTATTTTCATATGAATCGGAGTTCCTTCAGACTGTTGTCAAAAACAAGAAGATCAAAGAAGCCAGATTATTTAATTTCACTTTCAGATATATTGATGATGTTCTTTCCATTAACAATCCGAATGTTTCTGGGTTCCATTAATATATCCCCCAGAACTAGAAATTAAAGAAACAACAGACACGGCTTCCTCCGCCTCATTTTTAGACTTATACCTCGAATTTGACATACACAGTCATCTCAGTAACAGAATCTATGACAAACGAGACGATTTTAATTTTAAAATGATCAATTTTCCCCACCTTAGCAATATACCAACTTCACCTACTTACGGGATATACTTGCAGCTCCTACTCAGACTTTGTAAAACGTCACCAGTGTCTGAGCAGAAAGTTGATGAACCAGGGGTATGTCAAAGAACGTCTCGTCCTTTTTCTTAAAAAGTTAATCTGAAGGTACCAAGACCTTGTTGGTAAATATTCCGTATCAACTTCACAAATAATACATGATAGTCTTGAAGTATAGATTCTGCGTACTGACGCTGTTTATCATCTTAATAACGTGTTAAAGTGTCTTTTATTTGTCTTTATTAATATTACTTTTACTGTTTGGTCTGTTTTTGGTGAAATACATTTGACGTGGCTCTGTACTTATGCATCCCATCATTGTGTTGTTTGTATTATTCTTCATTTTTACTTGTGTGCTTTGTCCGTGTGACTTTTTATGTTTCTTTGATACATATGACGTGTCTGTGTACTTAAACATCCCGCCATTTTGTTTCTGTTCTGTTATAATTTTTGCATAATTTGAACGACAAAATAATTTATATCTCTACCTGTGTGACGTTTATATTCTGACGTCAAACACGCTATTCTACGCCAGAGTTAATGTTAAAATTACGATTCGGTCCCAGAGCTTACAATCCCTCGATCCTTTATGGGTTGATTTGGCATACATATATAAAATACAAAAAAAAAGTAAGCAATGAACGAGGTTGTTAAATGTAATAAATGCTTTTTTGTACTTCTTTGTTAAATATTTGTTCGTTTTTGTTGTGATTAGGATTGTGACACGGTGTTCACTGCTGTACCTCTATTTTATATTTTTACCTATTATGTCTGTTTGTTTTATTCACGCATCGTTGTCAATATAATGGAATTTGATGCGACTGTCATACAAGTGAGAGGTTTAGCGCTTTAAAACCAGGTTCAATCCACCATTTTCTACATGCCAAAATGCCTGTACCAAGTCTGGAATATGACAGTTGTAATCCATTCGTTTAATGTTTTTGAGCTTTTGATTTTGCCATTTGATTAGGACTTATATCTAGAAATTGACTATAAGGGTCGGTTGAAAACAAAACTTTATTACAAAAGAGATGATTTCAGCTTCCCAATTGAATTTTTAAACCAAAAGTTCAAAATGGTGAAGTTGAAATCATCACTTCGTAAATTTTACGAACGCAATCACGAGTTGGTTGACCGTTATGGAATATCCGTTATACAGATGATATAAGATATGTTCCTTATGTCGTAACTACAATCCCGTTCCCTTTTCACGGCTTTATAATAACATGAACACGACGAGTGGAGCGGGGTCTGCTTACCCTTCCGGGGCACCTGGGATAAACCCCAGTTGTTGGTGGGGTTCGTGTTGTTGTTGTACCCCTATTTGTGAAATTTTGTTCACGCATCGTTTTCAATATAATGGAATTTGATGCGACTGTCGTACAAGTGAGAGGTTTAGCGATATAAAACCAGGTTCAATCTACCATTTTCTACATAAGAAAATGCCTGTACCAAGTCATGAATGTGACAGTTGTTGTCCATTCGTTTGATGTGTTTGTGGTTTTGATTTTGCCATTTGATTAGGAACTTTCCGTTTTGGATTTTCCTCGGAGTTCAGTATTTTTGTAATTTAACTTTTTTCAATCTTTCAAGAACCATAACGCCTAAACGGTAAAAGTCAAAATCGTCATTATTGTCAGTAACAACATATTAAAATTTTAAAAGCTTTGATTGAACGGTTCATGAGTAAATGCCCGGACATTTGGCTGCCGCCGGCCCACCTGACCTCCCGACCGACCTCCCGCCCGCCGTACATCCCCAAATCAATAACCGATATTTTTTTTCTCGAAAATCCAGTTAAAAATAGCCTAAAAGAAATTATCTAGAATGCTTTACAACATAAAAATGCTAGCATACGCTCTAAAGTAATTACTTTGGGATACCATACGGCATATTTTATAAATAGTGAACAATAAGGTAAAACATGCAATACCGAGGCACAAGTATTCAGTTTGCTGGAGGTATGTATGGACAACAAATTTGTTGAATTTTGAGGTAGAATTTTTCTACCAATCATTTGCCAATTGTCGGCATTCGTAAGGGATAAACTGTGCGCCTCTTCGTGCCGACCTCTTCTTATTTTCATGAGTCGGAGTTCCTTCTTTTTATTAGCAATCCAAACTTTACTGATTGGGTTCATAAATATATCCTCCAGAAATACAAATTAAAAAAAAACAACAGACACGGCTTCATATTTAAACTTATACCTCAAATTTGACAAGAATGGTCATCTCAACACCAGGATCTATAACAAAAGAGGGACGAAAGATACCAGAGGGACAGTCAACAAACGAGACAATTTTGATTTTGAAATTATCAATTTCCCCCACCTTAGTGTCATTATACCAACTTCATCTGCATATGGGATATACATTTTCTCAATTCATTCGGTATGCAAGAGCTTGCAGCTGTGACTTTGTAAAACGTCATCAGTGCCTGAGAAGAAAGTGGATAAAACAGGGTTATGTCAAAGAATGGTTCGTTCATTTTCTAAAAGAGTTCATCAGAATATACCAAGACATTGTTGATAAACATATCAACTTCACAAATAATACGCGATACTTTTGCAGTTAAGATTTTTAGCACCAAAGTTGCTTATCATCTAAATAACGTATTATAGTGTTCTTATTATTTTACTGTTTATTCTATTTAGTATTATCTATTTGACGTGGCTCCATTCTTATTCATCCCTTCATTGTGTTATTGTGAAATCGTATTTTTTTGTGTATTCTTGTCTTTTTGCTTGCTAAATGTGTTTTTATGTTTTTCTTTGTTGACACATTTGTTTGTTTTTATAGTGATGAAGATTAAAAAACAATGTTGAGTGCTGTATTCCTATTTTTGACATTGTTTTACCCCTGTCCGTCCTTCCGTCCGTCCCATTATGGGTATATAGTTATTCCGCATAACTCTTCCTAGTTTAAATCCTAAGAAGTTTTCACTTTGTTGTCTGTTTGTACATATATTGAAGGTGTGCATGTGGTCAGAGTTTTGATTTTTATTAATATTCGCTCTTTTGTGAGATAGATGTGGGCGGATCATTTTGTTTAGTTACCTTTAATGTCGGTTTGTTTTGTGCACACATTGTTGTAATAATATGGAATTTTAGGCGACTGTCATACAAGTGCGAGGTTTGGCTTGTCTAGCTTTAAAACAAGGTTTAATTCACCAATTTCTACATAAGAACATGCTCATACCAAGTCAAGAATATAACAGTTGTTATCTATTCGTTAAATGTGTCTACGTTTTTGATTTAGTCATTTAAATTTACTAGGTTTTTTTTGTTATTTTACTTTTCCATATGACAACAATTGGCAAAGATTAATACTACGTGTACTAGTCAAGTTCTTCACCATTCCGACTATAGAATAGACCAACGATATATCTTTTTTTATATAAATAAAATATACTCATCCACAACAAAGGGCTTTATTTTAACGAAGAAAAGCCTAATGCGGCGGTGCAAGTCTAATAAGGGTTTTGCGAGTTATCAATTCTCCCACTTTTTATATTCGAAAGTGGAAAGACTGAATGTAATTTAAAACAATGAAGTTTTACGATTGCCAAAGTCTACTCATTTATTAGTACTAGCACAATTTGACATTTTCTTTTGAGCTTTCGGTTTACAGTTGATTATCCACTGTTGAAGTAGGTGATATTAAAATTTACACACAAATAAACGAGAGAAAAAAAAAAAGGATTTATCGTTAAACTGTTGTAGTCAAGTAGATTTTACCAGCACAGCAGTCTTAATCAACTGTTTAGTTTAACATGTTGTCTCTGCACCATAGATTTAGTACAGCATTTATAAACTGAAAAAATTGATAGTGAAATCTTTCAAATAAACTATGCTAGCATCGATGATTCAATGCCCACCAGTTTAATCCTTAAATTTCAGGCTATGTTTTATACATGCAAGGAACAAGGAAAATAAATTGATCGAGAGACGATGAAAGATTCATCTTTCAGCATATCCAAGAACGGACGATAGAACATTACAGTTGATGAACTAAAATAACTTGTAGCTAACCTCGCTGACACACTACCTTGTCATTAAATCGAATATATAGTAATTTTGGTGTGATAATTTGAAATCTACGTACATGTATATATTCTTAGCTCTGAATAACAGAAGTTTCAACTATGGTTTTATTTGGAATCTCCTCATTTCTTGGTAAAAAAAATAATTAAATCGGTCGTATATCATTGCATTAACATCATAACTAAAAAAGCACATTTCTAAAGCTTACTATTTACTAGCCTTGCCAAGTTATATGTACGACCCGTTTCATTTTGTAAAACTTACCGTAAGCTGCTGAGCAGAATTGTTCTTGAGGGTGTGGATTGCCAAAACATGAACATCCGTGTACATCACTTGTCACAAAAGATAGAACAATAACAAGCAGGAAAATTTTCAAAGACATCTTAACCATTCCTTACTCTCTCGAATTAATTTACAGCAAAGAGTAAAGTACATCCTATTATCTTAAGAAATTGGATTAACAAAATGTGCCGACATATTTCAGGGGATGGTAAAGGATGATATGTGGCAAAAACAAAAAAAAAGGAAGACGAAATTGGAACTTATTTGCAATAGAAGAACTGGAAATTTTTATTATAACTTATTTTCACAATACAATGCCACTTTGTCCCATGCATAAATAAAACTGGTGAAAAAACTTACAGAACTCGTTATTCAAAATTAACTGTTCACCTCTATCATTTTGTCTATCGTTTTTATTTAATTGCATTTTAATGGAACATAAACACGTAGAATAATGCAAAATCAAATAAATGCGTCAAAGCTTTCATAGACGTGCAATATAATAGGATTATTTTGAAAAGGAAATACTTAATGTATTAATAAGTTTAAGTACATTGCAGATGTGCATATAGAAATTGCAAATCGTTCATAAAAACCATTAATCCCGTTCAGGTTTACATTTCATGTAATATTCGCAATATCTATTAATGCAGTATGATATATTAACATAGTGAACACTCTGGATGCGGTTTTTTAATATTATTTTTTTTTGTCAACAGGAAACACATATATGATGCACAGTTCTGGTTATGCCTCTAACAGTTGTATTAGGTACATTTCTATGTTTACATTTATTACGCTGATATTCGTCACAAAACCACATTTGCTCTGAACTAGTTTACTTTTTGGAGATTTATATAAAATTAACTTGCCTCACTTCTTTTAGCAAAATGTGATCACTTAACATATCATTTTTTAATATTTGTGAGTCAGAAGACCATCATGTCCGACCTTACTCAATAAGTCTTAAATATGATGCATAACATTCTATTACAGATGACAAACGAGAAATACTGCAAATGACGATAAATTGAACTAAAATAGGCAATTTTCTATAATAACTAAAAACGCGCTTCTTTTTCAGTTTTTTTTTTATTTAAAACAATTTATTGTTTGAACCCAAAATCTTGTCTGGCATACTCGTACTGTAAAAAAATCTGCAGATTAATAACTTTGTCTACAGATTTCACTGTAAGACTTTAACTTTTTACTCTTTTTCATTGAAGATAATGTAGCTGACAATTCGTTATCTGATGATGAATCCTCAGAACTGGAATTTGTTTGAGATTGAAACTCAGTATTACTGTTCCATCTTCATGCAAACTCGTACATTCTGAGATACAGAATGTTTTCCTTTATGATGACTAGTTTTAGAAACGGAAACGTTAGCTTAATTGTCTTGTTTAATTCTTGCAAAAGCTCTTATTACCCTTATATTTTTTCTTTTACTTGTTATGTTCAAATCTTTTGAAATATCTGCGCGCTGAGACTTGAATATGCTTGAATATGTGTCAATGTCAAATTCTAACCTCTTTAATCCCTCATTGACTTCTTTATTCGGTTTATAAGAATTTTGTAAGAGTAATTGCACCCTTTGACTTCTTGATTTATTTTTATGATGTTCTGTGTCCTTAACATCAACGTCTGCTTTTAGCTCTGTAATGCGTATTTTCAGCTGATCTGTTTTTAGTTTTTTTATTCTCTCTCCCAGTAGTTTATTTGCAACTCTAAGACTTCATCTGAATCATGATCCTTCAATAATTTCTTAGCTTCATCAAGATATCGGTGGACCCCGATATCTTGTTGACTAGATTAAGATGGCGTAGAACAAATAAAAAAAAAACGCGACTTCATGGCTACGGTAAGATTTAAATCTATATAGAAAAGAGAAAAAAAAAAAAAAAAAAACAATACCAAATGATAAGGAGCTGATCAAACAAGGATGATATTTTTTGCGAAATGATAAACATGTCTAAGTTCAAGTATTGGTCAAATAGAAACAAACAGAAGGTCAATGTCACAGCTTATTGATTAAATCGACTGTTTTATGATAAGATTTATCAGGGAATATAGTGCTGTATTCAGAACTACTGTCTAATTTTACAATTTAAGCCGATTAACTTTTATATAAGTATTTAATTAGTAAACTTACATATTTTGTGAATGTCATGTATTCAATAATTGAAGCTGAAGACGCATAAGAAAAATCACAACGAGGAAAGACCGACACAATCATTCAAAAATATGAAAGGCAAGAAAACAACAGTATTCATAACACTACATTAAAAACTGAGTAACAAGAATCAAAACAACAATCAGGGGTGGTATAAGGTGTGCCGGAAGGCTATCAGAACATGATACACATTTGCCACGTGTCTAAAATGTGACATATTGTTAATTTAGTGATACTTTTTGTAGATCTACTTCACAGGCTGAACAAACATGTTAAACCCACCTTTTTCTAAAAAAAAAATACTGGTACAAGGCCTTGCGGTCATAAAACTTTCGAGCACGATTTTCGTACTCAGACTCAGAAATCAACCAATCAAAATCATGGATTTGGTATTTCGAGCACAATTTTTGTACTCCGAGTACTGAGTAAAGTTTTATGACCGAGAGCCCAGGTCAGGAATATGACAGTTTTTCTTCAAATAGTTTGCTAAATTCCGGATTTTGATTTTGTCATTTGATAAGGGACTTATCGTTTTGAATTGTCCTTGAAATATGTTTTTTTTATATTTATTTTACCTCATGGAATTACAATATAAGCTGGACAATTAAAAATATTTAAACAACAATATTTTAATGATAAAATACTCATTTACAAGTAGTTCAGAAAATCTGATTAATAGTTTTATATATAATTGATTAATCATTGACATACAAGTTGATTGATTTTTTTACCACACTAGTTTGTTTCATTATTAACCCAACGATACCGTCTTCCATCCCGTTTTCACAGAGCATTCTTGGCAGGGCAAATGGTGAGCTTATCATTTTTACCAGCCTCATATTTACAACCGGCTGAATCTGGATCTATTTTCTGAAAATGGAAAACACATATTATATACATATTATATGTGCGAGATTATTGACACTATTTTATATCAGAACAATGTATGCTTTCGAATACTATTTTATAACAATGTATATGCCTACGAAGAAACCCGAGTTTTGTCCCGATTATCGTTTAGCAGTTGTGAAATTTTACGATTTAGGAGCAACAAAGTATACGACAAAATATTTACATAGATCGTTTTTCAAACGAATTAGCTTTTAGAAAGCACCAAATGTGTGCATAAATTTTCGAAGAATTTATTTTTCGTGCTTTCGAAATTTACCCGCTATACGGTATTTGCTCATTCTTTAATACTTCTGCCGTTTGCATTTGATATTGTTGTTTGATTATATCTAAATATTGTAGTATTTTCCTCAACCTTATCTCCATATCTATGTACCCTTTTCAGCACATGAGTTTCAAAAACTCAGATTATCGAATTGTAGTCAAAGGAATAAACAATATTATAAAGGATTTTGAGTTGATTTGTGATATGAAAACTTTACAACATGAATTTTCTTAAATGATCGGAATACGATTATGTTAAGAAACATTTCTGCCTTCTTTACTCTACAATATTTTAAACAAGCTTTGATTTGTGCCATTTGATAAAGGACTTTCCGTTTATATTTTCGTTGGAGGTCGATGTTTTTGTTACTTTACTTCGTATAACAAACACAGACAGTTGGTGCAGCCCCAACTTCTTAAGGGTAAATACATTACGCTTGTCATACTAGTGTTAACATAGTTTCTGAAGCTAGAAAATGATATCTGATTTGAAAATAAACTTCCACACCATGCTAGGAATAACAACAGATAACGGATAATTCAGATAAAACAAAATAGAGTCATTTACTGAGCTGCCAACTTCTCCAAGAAACATGAATAGGTAGAAGGCTTAAACTAATTTTATGAGATATCAATCCTCTCCGGTTCGTCCCAATCAGTGCAATATTAAAAGTTTCATACAAAAATAGTAACTTCTTGAATATTAGCAAATGACAAACAACTATGAAAGAGAACTAACAAGTTAATGGCCTGCGTTTAAGTTACTTACGTTGCATCTCCTTCTACAGTTTAAATTGTAAGAATTAACACCTCTTGTAAACATGTAAAACGTTTGGTAAGATGACAGACTGCTCAGATGTCTGATATAGTTACACAATCCAATAAATTTCTTTCAATCGGAGCCTGTTCTTCCTAAACACAAACATCTTACAATTACTAGTGTAAATAATTTGCGAAAGGAACAGTTTAACCTTTAGTTGGAAATATATTAACACGCTTTTGAAGTACTAATTCATAAGCCTAAGAGTTAAGTTTATTATTTTTATAATAAATCACCAGCGAACATCGAATTTGAGAAGTTCAAAACGGAACAATCAAGAAAATTGTTAAACCTATAACACAAGTAAATTAATTTGTTGTTATAGACATCTTGGACTGTGAAATAATAGTTCGCAACTGGTATAAAATATTTAATACAATACATGTATACATATTTTGAGAAGGATTTCATTTGCCATGACCAACATGAATCACCAAATCAATCTTAATTTAGCGTGTAAATAACATCATTCTGTAATCGTAGATTTTGAATATTAAATCTTGAATAAAAATGCATTGTAATAATCATGATAATAGGATTTACATTTGGAAAGTAAACTGATAATTTCATATTGGATATTTATTGAACTTATTAACAAAATAATGTGTTTGCACTTGAAAATTCGGGATGTCGTGGACTTTTTTTTTTAAAGAGAGGTGGAATATAACAAAAGGGAGATTTAAACCTTAAAGTCTCCCCCCCCCCCCCCCCCATACTCAAAAAAAAAAAAAAAAAATAAAAACGTGGGAGTGTTGATCATGACATATAAGCAGCCAAGTTGAATAGTACAGCAACAATTTTTTTAAACAGTAGTTTTTTATAATATCTTTGATTTAAAAAATAAAACCCAACAAAATCACCCATTGAGAACCCTCGTCCTTCTCTAAAGTGGACATTTTATTCCAATGTGAAGTTTGATGCGTCTTGTTATTCG